CTTTTATTGTTATTCACCACGATGAATAACCACAACCTTTTCTACGAAATTAAATTAAAAGTTAATCACTTCTGGGGTTTGAGGGACAAACCCTGAAAGTGATCAACAAAATAATTCTCCTTACAGTAATATACTGCTGAATCATAGTTTAAGATCATGAGAATATGGGAAATGATCACTGACCTGAGAAGCTTTGATCGTTAAACAAATTCTCCTTGTCATTGCCAAAGAAAATGCATAAAAAAGAGTTTGGAGAATTTGGTTACTGATACTGGGGTGTAAAGGAGTATTGGAAAAATAGTTACAAAAGTGCAGAATTGTAGCTCTGATTATTACCCTTTGTTTGTGCAAGCTCCAGTGCATTGTGACTCTCAGATAAATTTCCTGCTGTAATCATCATCTGAAACAGAAAGTAGACAATTAGCCAATTCTTAAATAAAATTTTATTTTTTTTATTTTTTGAGATATTTTTTTCCTCAAGATATATGTCCTCAAGAGCTGAATGTTTCACTGTCTTGAATATATTTATTTAATTTGTAACATATTTCTTACCTTTTGCACACCAGTATCAGATGCCCTCTTAAGTACCTCTGTAAAATCATCTGCGAAAAAAGCATGGACATCAGTGGGGTGGTAATCTAACAGTAATCTGTATCTAAGACCTTTCCTTTTTACTAAATCCTGAGATCAGTTTTAAATTCTCAAAACTGAGAGCCACGCAATTCCTTAAATTGCAATGAGAAAATTTAGTGTCGCAAGTTTGCATGAAAATGTATTGAAATTGTAGGAAAAAAATCAATGCAAATCACTTCTTTGGGTTGAGGGGTTAATGCATGAGTAAAAACTCTCTCCAAAATACTAAACATGCATCTTGAATATATCATATCACTTCCTACAATATTCTGTGAAAGCCTCCTCACACAGAATGTCATAACAAATGATGTATATTAACAGATTCACCAATAATTACTAGACATCGAAAAAATTCTATTAGACTTGCCTACATGAGCTTGCTTTCCATGATAAATTCCTTTAAACATTAGATCTAGAAAAATTGTAAGATACGTACTTAGAAAATATTATACTCTCACTCTTCCAAAGATCTGATTGTTAATTCTACTCTCAAGCAGCTACACATTTGCTTGTAAATTTTTTAGGGGAATTTGGTACTAGATCAAGATAACAATTTCTACCCATTAAGTTTGAGAATTCTCATTACCTGTTTTATGGATAATGTATGGATAAATAGAGGGAGAAGTTACATGTTAATCACTTCAGGGAGTGAAAGAGTTAAAATCACAGAGATGGATTATCAACTTAAATTATACGAAACAAGTTAAATTAAACTAAGAAACAATTTCCCTTGAAAGATATTTCTCCTTCAAACAAGTTTTGTTCCCCATTGTTCCTTCGCAATCCCTTAGTACAGACACCTTGTGTGCACAACCATAAAATATAGGGGTACCTCATTTCTGATGATCTTAATTTGGTACCTTAACCCTTTAACTTCCAAGATCAGATTGTTAATTTTCCCCTCTAGTTCCAACACATTTCCTTCTAAATTGGTTTGGAGAATTTGGTGTTAGATTAAGAAAAACAACTTCTACATGATAAGTTTAAGTATTTTCATTAACTGTTTGCTAGATAGTGTATGGATATTATAGAAAGAAGTTACCTCTCAATCACTTCTGGGATTTTAAGAGTTAAAATACACTACAATTACCTATTGCGAATATTATTAATACTATTACTATTATCATCTATAACTTTAACTTTCTGTGTGACTTCCAGATCTCCTGTTCCATTTGGGTGACATTCCACATGATGCCAATCCCATTACAACACTTCACTCACTCCCACCCCCTCCCCCAGGGGTTGGGAACAAGGAAAAGAAAAACGAACTTCCCTGCAAGCTGAAGGGGAAGGTGGAAGAGAAATGTGAAGTTGAAAGACGGGCAACCCTTTAAATAAACCTGAAAAAACTTGAACACGTACAGCAGCCTTTTTTTTAATATGACGGATAATATCCAAATACTAAATGATATTCATGGCTTTAAAATATCAGCTCAGCGAAGGGGGCAAATCTTACCTGTTAAATTAACTCCGATGTCTTTTAGGGGGAATTGTTAATAAAAACAACATATGATTATATTGAATCATCATTCTATATCGAAGATCACCTAGTATGCTGTATGAAGAGAAAAACAATTTTCAAGTAAACTCAACAAACCAATGAACCGGAGCGACGCAGCCGCCATCTTGGGAATCATGGATACAGTCTAATTGTGTTACACAACAAAACATTGTCTTGATATTACTGCTGACCTTTACATTGCATAATTCTTATTTCATTTCCATCGAGTAGGTGACAGAGTGAACTGAACCATCACCAAGATTCAAACTTCGATCTTAAAGGTAATTTAACTTAAGGATTTTTCTTCCGATTCATGAGTACTCTAATCCTTTCTTAAAGGGTTAAGTTGACTCACATACTGCGCTATGCCAATACAAGAGAAATCTGTGTTTGTTCTCAAGATGGAAGTTCCTGGTTACCTAACATTTCTTAAATTTATGTTCTTAGCTTAGTTTCTGTACGATTTGTTTGATTTTCCAAATATTTTGTTTGTTTGCAACTTAAAGTAAACAGCGTAGACAAGCTTATTGTTTTCTTTCAAAGGATAAGGTTATTATTGCTCTTTTTCCTTGTCAAGTCCTTATCGATCAGACGCCGGAAAGGGAACTCCGAGTACTCGAAAACAAATTTTTGACAGACATTGAGGATAGTTTGCTGTTTAGTATTAGAGATGCATATTTTGCGACAATAATTTCGACAAACGCCGTTAGCTACTGTATTTGGTAGATCTTGGTATCAATTGACGCAAGCACTTCATAAAAATACTGAGCTTTGTTCGAATATTGAAATATTCTAAACTTTCTTTCAGTCGCACAACACTAGCTTGTTGACGCCATCGGGAATCTACCAGAAATAACCACTCAGCTATGAATCGTGCAGCTCTCACGCTGATTTTTGGGGTTTTACTCTCATGTTTTTACCTCGAATGTAAAGGTTAGTGCAAGAGACATTGATTTTAGGTGGAAAGATTCCGTACGTACACTTTTCTAAAAGCCTTATAATATATGTTATTTCGTAGTTGTCAAAACTTGTGATTGCTCACGTAACATCCTAAATATTTGCGTGCAATTTTTGCTACAGAGATCTATCTACTGTAAGATTGTTTTAAATTTATTTGAAATATAATTCCCGTTGTTTTTCGTTATTCGTTAAAGGAGTTTTCACCAATCATTAGTTAATTCAGGTTTGCACTGTAACTCAGGAAGTTTGCGGCAGTTAAATTTTCGTGAAATATTATGCGCAATTATGTATGCATGAACTTTGTTTTGCTTTGTCATTCTTTAAGATCTGTTGTCGTAAGAGCAGCGGCTGTTGTTTGTTTGACACGACAACGAATATTTTTTGCGTCAAAAGACTGCGAAATTTTTTCAGTTCTTCTATCGATGTGCAAAATACCTACGTGCGAAAGTTCTTTCAAAATGTCACGCGATCTTAAAAAGGAAAGATTGATTACCCCGTGCGATGACGTAAAATTCAAAATAAATGTTCTGTTATCTTTTATTTGACTTGTCCTCTTAGCCCTTCAGTATCAAGACTCACGTCACAATTTTCTAAGTTCTCTCTTGGAAACGGACAATACACTTGATTTAATTCGCCATGATCACCATCGGTCCAGAAGAAATCTGGGAGGAGTGCTTACTAATGGCTCAAAGGATTGTGAACAGCCAGAAAAAAATTTAAACTGTTCAGAAGTGGAGGTAAGTGTTTTGTCAAGAAGCTATTTGTTTTTTATCCTTCTTTTCTTGTCAGCGTGTTATATTGTTTTTGCAGAAGGGTCACAAATATTGTCATGATCAAACATTAAATATTGCAATATAAGTTTGTTATCTGCAAAATGTTTTGGAAATTTTTGACACAAAAGCTGACAAAGTTTAACTCTTTGGCTCCCAGAAAAGATTAACATGTAACTTCTCCCTGTAATATCCATATATATTATCCAGTAAGAATATCCAGACTTCTCACATTGAAGTTGTGTTGTTGATCTAACACTAAATTCTCGTAACCAATTTAAATATGTAGCAGCTTGAGGAAAGAATGAAAAAGTAGATCTTGCATTTTAGTTTGGTATCTGTTTCAAAACTCCTTCCCTAGTTGGATAAACCATTTAAAAATCTGGATGAAATGTTTAGAAAGTTAAGGAATAGATCAATACATAAAAATAAAAGTGCTTCAACCTAAAAAAAAAAGGTTTTAGAATGTAGAAAAGAGGTGCCTAAAAGTTAAAGAATCAAGGTCTTTTCAAATCTTTCTCACAGATCTCATGCAATATTGACAACCCTCAGTGGTGGCCAAATATTTTCTATTTATGGAGACTTGTTTTGAAAACACATAAATATTATAATGTACAACCCACATTATTTACATGTTGTAAGTCAAACTCATTATCATACATTACAATATCCAAAAACAAAAGAAAAGAAAATTTGAACCAAGGGTAAAATTGAACCACAACATATACATCAAGCAAAAATTGCCGTTTTTACTCAAAATATGTGACCCTGAAAGGTAAAACAGACAATAATGGAAAACCATTCATTCCCAAATGTCAAAAATGTATGCATGAAGAATGGTTAACAAATGGTACTTGAAGCATTTGAACAGTTTGCCTAACTGTTCGAATGGATGAATAAATTATTTGAACGGAAATCAAGGTTCCGATGTGTAATGCTGTATTGTCACAATCCATTCTCTTGTATTGATCAAGATATCTAAATCGCTGTTTAGTTGAAGTACCATATTCACTTGTGTATGAGTCAAAACTCATTATTGTATAAGTTGACCCCCCATTTTGAAAGTCAAAAATTCTTTAATCATTTCTAATTAAAGAAGTAAAATTTAATTAGAAATTTCCCAAAAAGTTAATCTCTTCTACATGTACAGTATATTTCTGTAAAGCATAATAAATACAGTTCCTTGTGATACTATTGTTATTAAAAAATTGGAATGATGATGAAATTTCAAAGCAATCATATCACTATTTTTTGTTTTGGAATCTGATTATACTACAGTGTTATTTATCAATGACAGAAGGGTATTCCTTCCTTTTTTCTTTCTCTTAGGTGCACCATAAATACTATGTGTCACAAATTATTAATAGTGGAAAAGACTACTGGGTTGATGTCCAAGGTAATCCTGACCATGAGGAACATTATAAACTATCGGACAGCTATCTGTTAAGAAAGGTATTTCTATTTTTATGCATTAAATATTGTTACCAGCACTAACACTAGATGGCAGTGAATGGCTGCTCTTAGGGTCAGTGGTTGATTTAAGACAAGTGCAGTCCCCCCCACTTGTACATGTGGAAGTTTGTTTACCTGTTACAACCTAACATCAAAATATATATTCTCCGTATACTGTTCTCTGTACATTTCCTAAGGTGCTGACGAGGTGAAATTATTTATCAATCAAGAACTACTGTAAATGTAGATGGTGATCATTTCCTTTATTCTCATGACCTTAATGTGAGATTCAGGAGTGATGTTGTAAGGAAAATTTACTTGTAGATGCCAGTTGCTCATAGGTGTCAAAGTGTTAACTCTTTAACTCCCAGTAGTGATTAACATGTAACTTCCCCTGACAATATCCATACATTATCCAGCAAACAGGTAATGAGAATACTCAGACTTATCAGGTTGAATTTGTTATCTTGATCTAACACCAAATTCTCATAACTAATCTATGAGGAGGTTTGTAGTAGCTAGAGGGGAGAATTAATGATCAGATCTTGTAACTGCTTGAACATTCAGGGCAGCTTATTTACATGAAGGCTTAAAGTTATCAGGCTGAATTGCACCACAATCACCACTCATACTATTTTGATAATCAGTGCTTTAAACTTGTGAAATATCTTTCATTTTTTGTAGCCCTATCCATTAAAATTCAAGTTCCCCTACTATGGTCACTTGCTGGACTCTGTGGTGCTAACAACTGGAGGTACAGTGTTCATGTAACTTATTAAAGAGAGTTTGTGAAATGAAATAGTTTGCTCTATAATAAGTTGGAAAACTTTGTTTCTCTTTTTTTCTTAACCCTTACACCTCTTGAGTAGCTCTTGCTCTCTTCCTTTTTAATTTTCTGACTTTGCATCTTTTTTCCTTTTTTTTTTCATTGGTGGGTCTGCTTTTTATCTCTTACCTTTTCTTTCCCTTTCATTCACTCTTTCCCTCCTCTCAATCCCTTCCTTTTATTCACTTCCTCCCTTCTCATAAACTTCGCCCCTTAGAATTGAGATTGGCACAGGTACTTCTTTTGATACATGTAGATTTAAAAAACCTGTGTTGTCCATCGCATGATATCACTTCTGCTTGATCCTTTTTTTTGTGCAACAGGGTTCCTGTACATGGATGTCCATGACACAAGGCTAATGACACAAGTTCAGTACCTTGCTCCACTGATGGCGTACTTTAATCCTCATTTAGACAAAGATTCAAAAGTCCTTACATTACATGATGGCAAGTAAAAACTTATGGAACACTTGATGGTAGAAGCATAAAACCTTTCACTTTCAAGATCTCTGTTTGGTTATAGTATCGGTGGCAGATACTACTGATTGTAAATTTTATCATCCAAGACTTCTTGCGACCCATGGTTGACTACAAAAGAAGTTCTTACAATATTAATACAGTATTGAGATGACAAGTGAATGAGAGTAAAGAAAAAATTAATATTAATACGATAAGGAGATTATTAATTGATCTGATGCCAAATTCTCCTAACTACTGTCATAAGAATTGTATTTCAGACAGTAAGGAGAACTACTAATGAGATTTTGGGTGTGAAAAGGTTAAGCTATGGATTCTCATTTTTTCCTTTGGTCTATATTTTGTGTGATTTGCACTTCTCCAAACTACATGTAGATCAGTTGTAAGGTTTCTAAGAAATATTTCCTCTGCATTCTTTTTCGCTGGTGCACAATTTGCATGGCTAAATCTTTTTATAAGTGCAGAATCCTGGAAGGCTTAATGATCCAACATTTGAAGCCTAGTTTGAGTGGAAAAATTAACTTCTACATCGCAAGACTTTTGCCATTGGGAACAAAGAATTTAGCAGACAGAGCCCATTTCCCTTAATGATGAGCTAGTGTTTTTACCTTTTATAAATAAATATGTTTTTCCTGATAAATTGCTCATTTTTATTTTATTTTTTTGTTTTTCAGAATCCAAACTGACAGTGCAGTGGAACCAAGTTCATTTACATAACAATAAATCTGGTAGGTGTATGTTCAAGCTTAGAGTAATGATAAAAATCATTATCTTGTATCCTTTTCATTAATTCATGTCAGCCTGTTTGTTGTATCATGTTAGATTTTCCTTGGATTACCATACTACCGAATTTTTATGAAACATTTTAATATGCAGATTCTCATTATGGGTCTACAAATTTTGACACAATCATGTGCAATTGTATGGATAAGTCAGTATGAAAATTGTCAGTTTAGATTTTCAAAAGCTGGTAACCCCTTCTGATCTGTTATGCAGGCATTTTTTTTTTATTATTGATGCATTCAATCATCTTGTTATGGCTTGCTTATATGCTGCTTTATAATACATTCCATTTTTTTTTCAGCTGGACCATTCACATTTCAATGCACTCTGCACAAGAATGGCACAATCTGGTTTGCTTACCAAGCGGTAATTGCATTTCATCCTGTGCTTCTCATTACATGAAAATATTGAGATGGTCCCTCTGTAGCCACCCCTATCTCTTCCTTAATTCTTCTGCCCCTGCCACTTTCAGTCCATTCTTTTCATCTCTGTCTCAATCCTTTCACTCTTTTAAAACTGTCAGTATTCAGTCACCCCATCATCTTAGGCTTATCACACTCTGATTTCTCTGTTCCCATACTGTCATTCACCCTCATTCTGCTCCCTCCTGTCCATTTACTAACCACTCTTCCACCCTTCTTCCATGGATCTTCCCCCCATGATCAGTGGTATGAAGTCATTACTCTCCCATCAGTCCTACTCTTTCCGCCAACACCTCATTACACCACCACTTCCCTTTCATCTAATCTGCCACCCTGCTTCACTGCACATCCCCCTCTCTACTCTTGTAGACATACATGTAGTTGTACAAGAAAACTCTTAACCTGTGGAGGAGTAGATGACTTTTGATATCAGTAGTAAAACTCTTGTGTGTCTCCATGTCATAGATCCCTGTTGATGTGGCAAAAATTCCACATTTACCATACCACCCTGTCAGAGTTGGCATTGCAGATGCATTTGTGATTGAAGTTAAAAGAGGACAGGTTCGTTACCGATATTTCTACATCTACAGTACAATCAACATCACTATGGAGAAAGTGGGTAACAATGTGGCAGTCATCATTAAACCTCAACTTAGTAAGTTGTAACTTTAAATAGTATTGGGTGTAGAAAGATTGAAAAGGAGAGTACGTGTAAATTTTGAGCTCTGCTGTCGATTAAAGGGGAGTGTTAAATAGGCGATACAAATAAAATTACACAGATTAATAATATTAGTAATAATTATATATAATAGGACCAAGTGGAGTCCAATTCTGTCAGTAGTCATGCAAGTGGTTAACAAAATCGGATGACTATGAAGCGGGAGTCTGATTTGTTACCTAGCAACATGATTAGACAGAATTGGATGATAAGAAGTCTTGTTACCAATTAATCAAAACTATGACAAAATTTTAGAAAGAAACTAAACATCCTTCAGTTATACCTTTTCATTAAAAAAAACAACAACAACAGTTAACTTGGTGAAATGCAAGACAACAGTGCGCGCACATGACGCGTTCTGTCCACTTACACAGGCATGACGTGTTAACTGTGCCTTTCATTGTCCTATTACTATTTCCAATTACAAGCATGACTCGTACGGTGTCTCATTAGTGCTCAAATTGGGCTGGTGATAGCTAATCACATTTGAGAATTTTGTTATGGTTTTGATCACTATTATTACAGGTTGTGTGAGTGCCCAGTCATGTTCTCTCTGCATGAAGAGGACTGAACAGTCTAACTTCACATGTCAATGGTGTCCTGAATTGAACAGGTGGGTAACTTATCACTTCCAAATATACTGTAGATGATGTTTCACCTGAAGAGTTGGAGCTTATTCCTGTATTTCCAGGACCAATCAGATGCATTAAGGAAGGTGTCCAAGTTTGGATGTGTAGGTCAACACAGTAAATCCTGGAATTTGGGACTGTAATCTTTGAAATTTGTCATTTTGGCAAATATTAATGTTACGTTGATGGGCAGAGAATTGATTGCTTGTTTGTAATTATTGTAGATGCTCTGATGGAGTTGATCGTCATCGCGCAGATTGGGATGCAAAGAATTGCCCGAAAAATGCCGTCAAAGAGGTAACTAGATGCATGTACGTGTAGGTTATGTTGCAGTCTGCCAAGGTGCATTTCATGACAGTAAGTTAAGCTTTGCCATGTGGACTGCGTTCCAACCAAAACTTGGAGGCCTGAGCACAGGACTAAGAGCTTAGACTGATGATATTCAACACTGAGTGAAAAGTGCCTCAGTGAAGGGAGTAAGAGAAGAAAGAGCGAGCTTTCATTGCTTCTCCGTTGCAACAAGTCATTCTAAGTTAAAGATTTAAGGTGGCAAAAGTAAGATGGTTCTGAAGCCACTCCATAAATTTTGTGAAAACCATGTAGGAAGATAAACTGTTACATGTTGATTAGTTGTTTTTCAACAGCTCTGATTGATGCATTTCGATCCTTGCTGTTTCATTCAGTGATTTGCTCCCTCGGCGGTCTGCTGTCGCACGGCTCTCCTGTTGTTATGTTTTTTGATCGTGGGCATCCACGCTTCTGGAATTTCTATTCCACTATCCCTGTTGATGTTGTCAGGGTGAAGTCTTATCTAAATTGCCTCTTTGACCTTGCGCGTGTAGTAATAAGGGTCACGATCAATAAACTTTACTTCGTTCCAGAGTGGCCTGTGTCAGATGTTGTGGGCATGCTCTGAAACGGCGGAGGTCTCGGTACGGGCGAGTCGGATGTCTCTATCGTGCTCCTTAATTCTGTCTTACATAGGTCTTCCAGTCTCTCCGATGTACATTAAACCTTGCCGCATTCACTGGGAATCCTGTAAACTACGCCGTCTTGTTACGCCGGGTCGACAGCGTCTTTTGGTCGTACTAACTGAGATCTTAACGTAGTCTCCGACTTAGAAACAGCGCGTACGCCTTGTTGTTATAGGCAACGGCAAAGCTGTTCGGACAGACCTTTGACATAAGGTAAAACCGCAGTAGCTTTGAAATCGTTGGCGGGTTCGGCACTGTTGTTTGGTTTTCCGTTCTTGGTAAGTTTCCGCAAGAAAGAAAGAAAAGAAAAAAACCAATCAGAGCCGTTGAAAAACAACTAATCACAGCAGAGCATCATGCTTTAGAAGATCACGCATGACCAGTCGACCTCATCGCCTGAAGAAGACTAACAGTATGCAGTTGAAACGTCGCAATCTGCATCACACTTGACTACATCGTGAGACAAACGAAAAACTTAGTTTTTATTGTTATTCACCACGATGAATAACCACAACCTTTTTTTACTAAGCTCTGTGTTAGACAGTCACCAAGATGTGTGTTCTTGCAGGCTTTGCTGACAAGTTCTTGACCTGTTCGGTCCTGATAATGATCAGTATCCTATTTCTCCTTAGAGTATCACTACTGAATTAAACATCGAAGTCATGAGAATAAGTAAAATGATCACCAACTAAAACTGCTCTTGATTTTCGAACAAATTATCCCTGTCAGTCCCATTGGAATTAAGTGCGTAGAGAGCAGAATGGGGAACATGCATACTTATGTTAAGTTATAAAAGGTTAAAGGAGAGAAGTGTACTAGTTCACTACTTTGGGAACATTTCATTTTTTTCTTTATAAAATTTTTGATTTGATGCTAAAAAATTGTGGTATCCACTGATTGTCTTGCAGTTGACCAAAGAGTGTAAAGCCAACACAATAGGCACAACAGGCTCTCGTAGGTCACATGAGAAAAAAGGAATCGGTGCAGGAGCCATCGTGGCCATTTGTTTCGTACTGGTGTTGATAATCGGTGTGGCTGCTTGGTGCATGTATGCATACAGGTATCCCACCTCCAAATCTGGACTCTTCCTCATTGAGGTAAAGATCATCTTTCAATCCTGTTGTTTTCAACAGCATTGGAAACAACATTTGAATTTTTCTCTCCTTTGAGGGTTTCTGTCTATCTACTAATAGATAAAAGCAGGATTTTTGTTCAATTTTTACTAAACTGCACTAAAATCATTAAATCCATGAACTGTGAACATTAATGGACATGAGTGTGAAGAGAACTGAAACGCTTTTGGTCATTTTGGCATAACAAAGATATTTACTCGTTTCATCCTCCACAAAGTGAATTTGGAACAGCCCTCTGGACATGTGACGCACATTTAATTCTACCAGGAGCTGATGTTAGCTGTGATTTCCTCCAACTGTAGCTCTGCATCTCCTCTTCAAACATGAATTCAGGAGTATGGGTATCAGTTGTTATTTATGCCTTTGGGGGTGGAGGATTTTTTTTTTAATTGGGGGGGGAGGGAGGGGAGGTGAAATGGTTTTTTTTCAGGGGGAAGGGAGGGGAATCAGTTGTTGCCGCAGAGTATAAAGGGGGAGCACAGAAAATTGACTGCTTATTGATGGCTAGTCAGGGAAGGGGGGGTGGGGATGGGGTCATATGAATGTTACAGAGTAGTGTGAGCAAATTTCATTGTGGCACAACCAAAATCCTCAAACCCCTCCCTCTTATGATAAATAATGACCAGTCCCTAAATCTTAGCTGAATGAAGAACATCTTGCTCAAAAGTTATATTTATTCTCATTGCTTTTTGTGGGACAATCTTACATGTTTATCACCACAGGAAGTTAGAGTTAACTTGGATGCAGCCATTGCTTCTGCCCTGACTGAAAATTGACTTATGACCTCTAGATCTCTGAGGATGCCATTTATTGTAAGGTGGACAATTGTCTTATCACATTTCCCATGTTTTTTCACAGGCCAGTCGCCGTCCCAGGGAGCTGTTCAAGAGTAGGTCTGATGGAGGAAACACAAGCCATGCAGCACCCTCTGATGTAAAGCCTCAAGTGCTGTAGAATAGTAGTGGATATTTCTGCCATTCATAATATGGCAGAAAGAATGATATTTGTCCAATCAATAATGCAAAAGCATAATTTCCCAAATCAGCACACACATGCTTGTTGAATGTATTTTGTAACTATAATGCACTTTTTAGTAAGAAGTTTTGTAGACTTGTGTTTTTCATGCAACAATTTCCCTCAACAAGAAATTCAAAAGCAAGAGTTTTGGTAGGGAGCTTTTCACGTGTGTGTCAAAATACCTTATCAACTTATCAATTCCATGCAAAGAAGGGTTACAAAAGCCAGGAATGAAGTTGCAATTGGTTTAAATGCTACATTTAGGGCATGTTTACATAGAGGTGAGGTAACCCAATTTCTCTCAGGTAACCTACTCATTCATTTAATCTCTTATTTTATCTTGATAACATTTACATGATAGGTGGAGTGACTTGCCAAGGCAAGTTGTCCAATCTGCTGGGTAGGGTGATCCTGTCAGCAGGGGTCACAATTTGCTGTGTCTCCAGGAGGGGTAACCCTCCTAGCAGGGGTTGCATTTGTGTTATATTTGCAAGCGCACCAACAACCGTGAGAAACTTCACCCAGGGATGCTGGGGTTGTAAGATTGTACGTAAATGTAGGCTATTTTCTGACCATGGCTAAGTGGGTTGCCTCACCTACCTGGGGGGCCCCCACTTCCATGTAAGAGGTTGATTGAGATGACAATACAACTTCTTAACCCTTTAACTCCCAGACAAAATTTGTAATTCTCCTTTCTGTCAACCATACAATTCTTATAACGTTTTTCAAAGAATTTATTATTGGATCAACTAACTATCCCCAAATTGATAGTTTTCTTCACTCTCATTACTTGTCTGGTTGATTTTGTATTGGTATTGTAAGGAGAAATTCTGTCTAAGTCACTCCTGGGAGTTAAAGGGCTAAAGCCAATAAATTGTCAGTTTTGCTTGGCACTCAGTTGGTGAGCTTTCTACTCTGGGTTTTCGATAATAACTGAATTGTTTTTCATCAACACAATCAAAGTGATTTACTGCAATATTGTTGTGTGGATTGAAAATAATGTTGCCCTGTTCCTTTTTTTCTCCTAATTACAAGCTAATTTTCATTGCTTGTAATATTTTGGTTGTTAACTAATTTTTTTCATGATTTTTTTTCGATTTAATTTGTCCTTTTGATAAAAAAGACTATAAAATCTGCAAAATTGACCAAATTGAGTGGAATCATATTGTAACGGACTTGGTCCAGGTCAAAGGAACTTTTAATCTGTCCTTGACCCAAAAAAATTGGTTTTTTGAAACACCTATTTAAAGCTATCCTATTATTTAGTACTATTTCAACTTAGTTATATTTACTGCGAAGTTTCGTCTTTTTTTATCGTATTTAAAAACCGATGTAGGGTTAATTTACGTGAGTGGCATTTTGAATGCATATTTTTTAGTCTATTAAGGTTATTGTGTACACGGTAGAAAATGGTTTTGTGTTATGATAAGTTTTTGAGCTTTTCCTTTAAGACTATTTAAGCTGGAACGTTCATGAAACGTTTAGCTTTTTTTCGCTTGTATATTTAAGTTACCAGTACTCTTTTAGCTTCCCACCTGAAAATGAAATTAAAACAGTCTTTTTGCTTATCTCTGTTGTCGTATAAGATGTACATGACATTCGTGGAACACTGATCCCTAAATACAAGTAAATCTCACTGGAATGCTTCTGAAATTAAGTGGAAGGGGCGGGTAGAACATGCTTAGTGCGTGGCTTTGTTCTTACCACATTTTGACGTCATCTGTGATCTATTACTGAACAGACGCATACCAACTTGGAATCTATTTGTTAAGTTTATACTACACGGATAAATTAAAGTTTCAACTTTACCGCTGACCCTCGTTGTCGAGGCAGGATTACAAAGTGAGTTGAGCGATAACTGTTCATACCTTCAGTGAATTTCGCGCTGAGAAATCTACTGCCTTTCGTAAGGAGCTAAGAAATTTGACGGTTATACTCGTTGCGCTCAGTCAATATGAGAAAGGAGTTGTTATTTGTTTTCAAGATGGGAGTTCTTGGTTACCAAAGATTTCCTACATTCATGATCACTACGATTCGCTTTATTGTCACAATAAAGTTTAATGTTTATCTTTAAGTTTTCGTTTTGGATTTAACTTTAAACGAGTCTCAAAACAGCTAAGTTTTAGTTTTGAATTATGAAGTTTAAGTTGCTCTTCTAGCTTGACTCTTCTGCGGTATCATCAGCAGGTGAAAGAAAACTTGGTTTTCATCACCCAAACAGAATACAGGGGAAACGCAGCGAAATAAAATATTCAGTGAGCAGAATAAAGTTCGGTACGTGTGCTTCAACCGTTTTGCATTTCAAATAACGCTCCTCTGCAAAGAAACAATCGCAAAATTTTGCGTAGAATACACAGGAAACTTCGAAGGCGAGTTATGCACGTTCCTCAGTATCAGGTGTTAGCGTATCATTGGGTATAACCAAGTTACAGAGAAGTTTGCGACATTAGTAGTCACACTGAAGGTTGAAGGGCTCTCAATGTAAAGTGAAATTTTCAACTCGGCATTTTCTCTTCTCAATTATGTTTATCAAAAAAAAGCTGCTGATGGTTTATTTCGAAATTTTTGACATATTTTCAAATCTGTATCACACAGAATGAGCATACTAGTTTTCTTGTGGCTCCCGTGACCTCACGTCCATGACTCCCTTCGTCCACAAGAGGGTAGTGCGCACTGTCTCTAGGCAGTGTAGCTTTTGTTGATAGCTGCTGTCTTGATGGAAAGGCAACTCTTGCTAGATGTTGCCTTTACTGTTATAAAGTATCATTTTGGTTTTTAGGCTCTACCTGACACATTCCCTCATTTAATTTGCAGTGCAAATTAAATGAGGGAAGTTTACCCTTCTGTTATTTAAGCGTATCTGGCACTTTCTGGTTCCACTTACTATTCCCTTTATTTTGCTCTGTATTGCTCTTCACATCTCTTTTCTTTTTCTTCCTCAGATGTGTTTGCTCAGGTTCTTATCGAAATCAGGCAACACCGGGAGTCAGCTTCTTGCGGGGTCTGGCGGACAGGTTCAAAATTACGGTCCTTTCTTCAGAGGCGTACGTACAGCAATACCCTTCAGAGGTACCTTGCGTGCCACAAGTGGTAACAAGTTCGCGGTCTGTAAGCGTAAAGGAAATAGTTTTCCCGCTGATCATTTTCACGAAGCTCTTTATTTACAGTATCTTGTGAAGCAGTTCCAGTCTCATAGCGCGATTGACTTCGCCTTTAACGGCATCAAATGGTACCATGTTATGGTTAATGTCCTATTTCCGACTGACAACCCTGAAGTCGACGCTTTCAGGTGAGAAAATTCTTTGTACTGCTACTGTCAACCATAAGGAACACATTTCCTCAGATTTGATCCGTAGAATTTTTAGCCATTCTTACTAGGATAACCCCGTGGATTTGCAGATGCTTTTTTGCTGGCTTTTGTTGTTTTGATGACATTTCTCGAGTAAGATTACTCATTACTCATTACCTGTTTGCTGATGAATGTATGGATATTGTAGGGAGAAGTTTTATGTCAATCACCTCTGGGAGTTAAAGGGTTAAGCCATTTATTGCAGCATCGATATCTTAAACTTAGCGTATTCCGTAAAACCAAAACAACACACAATCGTTCAGAAGGAATAAAACTGACCAAACCGGAACCAAAACCAGTAGAGAGCGAGATAAACTAGTTTTTAGTTACTGTAGTCTTGAAGAGTCATAACAGAGCTAACCACGGATGGACTTCTAATTTCATCTTTCTACCGCAGTGCAAATATGTGAATTTTTCATATATCTAAATCTTCATTCACTCGGATGTTTATTTGTACCCAATTCATTGACCAGCTCCCAGTTGGCTTGTTAGCTCAATTGGTAGAGCGCTGCACCGGTATCGCAGAGGTCATGGGTTCAAATCCCGTACGGGCCTGAAATTTTTTTCAGGTCCTACTTACAACTACTAGTTTCAGTAGTGTTCTTAGCTGCGAGGATCTTCTAATTTCAACGGATGGACTTATTCAGAAACGGATATTTCACATGGGGGTAGGCAACTAAATTTATGCTATGATGCTTTTCATAAAAATACAATATGCAATGTGCTGTCATAAGTCGGAATAAAACCGGTCAGGCTCCATAAATAAACAATGGCCTCTATTTTGCGCAAAAATATGTACGGATATCTGTTTGTGGACGTTATTTGTGCCAAACAGTTTTCCGAGAGCGAAGTTTGAAGAAAATGTAAGCTTCGAGGAACAGGTAATGTCCAAGGACAGATACATAAGCATATTTTCGCACAAAATGGAGGTTCTTGCGTTTATTATCCTTCAAATGTTTCTGCAACTGGTGCGCGGGAAAAAAATGTTGCCGAAAAGCTCACCGTTTCCTGCGCGAGATGTTCACTTTTCAGTGTTCTCTGGTACGACTTTCTAAGTAAAAAAAGAGCGGTTTTTTTTCTGTAACAACCGTAACACGCTCTCTCATCTTGAATTAAATCTTAAGAGAAAACTTCCTCCGGGACTTGAGTTATGAAAACTCGGGAATATCACCTGGGGTACAACCTCGCCAGTTTTAGCTGAGCATATTCAGCTTTGGGACCAATCGCGCAAGAATAAAATTATTTGATGGATTTTAAGTTTAATTAAAAAGTCTAAATTAGTAAGCTTTAAACTCACAAATAATTTCCGTGGCAAAAGCCCCTATGCAAATAATTAACGTTAAGCTCATGGTGCCCAAGCAAAAGAGATGTGAAATAAATCGATTTTTCCCACTGATACGCTTTAAATCGGTGAACGACAAATAATAAGCTAAACAACTACGAAATATTTATCAAGTGATGCAAGGTGAAAACATTTGTGAAGAAACCAGCGGACTATTTCGAGTTATCAGCTACCACGAAAAGTAGGCTGAAACCATTTTGGGACTTGCTAAAACACATTTGGTGATAATAAAAAATCTTAATTGATTTTTTTCAATCACTTTGGGTAAATATTAGGATTTGGGCCGAGCTTAAGGCAAATCTAGTTGATTAGGCGACGAAAAGCCCTCTTGGAATCTGTCCTTTATGGTGCAATTGTGAAAGTGTGTTCTGAGACGTCATGCGTAAGAGGTGCTTAAAGTACTTACTCTTTTAAGTTTAAAGTTCGGTACTTTTTACGGCAGATCATAGTCAAAACAGCAGTGGAAATAAAGAGGTAATCTCAACTAGATATGGTTGATTTACATGTCTTCAAACTCAGATGTGGTGAAATTCTCCTAGGCCGGTTTTAGAAACGTGTACAAACACATAAACCTATTTCTAATGTTCATTTTAAAGTTTTCGGATCAATATCAGTATCTGGGCAACTGCCCACCTACCCCTCCCCTAACTCAACAACAGTCAATTGACAGTCGATTGACAACAACTTAAGGTTAATGTTGGGTTAGGGGAGGGGTAGGTGGGCAGTTGCCCAGATACTGATATTGATCCAAGATTTCTATGTATTTCTGTCATTTTGATTTTAAATTCTTGGTTTTGCTGCACGTTTTATTGACAGCGGTCAACATTATGAGGAATTGAACATACAAAAAACAGAATAAGGATATTAGAGGCGAGTATTTACGTTATTAAATGATTAACTTCCAGGATAATATTCACTGACATTATGACAATATTGAAATATTGCTGATAGCATTTTCGGAAATGTCTGATTGTTTCTCGTTATGCATGAAATGATATTACAAGGCATCAAAAGCATTCGATTTTGGTTGGGTTGATATGTCATTAGACTATGTTCTAATTACTGAGTAATTAATATCATTTTAAATATATTTTGAAATGTCAAACGATGTTATGTAATGTTTGAGAAGCAAAATGCGACTATAAGCAATTTGAAATTAGCAGAATTGAATTAAAGAATTCCTTTTGTATTGAAACTATAGTAAAAGTGAAAATTGTACGTTCACTCATGAACTCGGTAGATATTTAAACCACAAACGGTTGAGCGGCACACACATTTGATACAAAAAACTTGAAACTGAATTAGTTAGACAATTCGCTAAGGATTACATAGTTACAAATGAAAGTACGTGAGAAAATGTCAAATGGAAACACATGCCACACTGGAGAGGAGCATGTCCATCAAAGCCCCCGAAAAAAAACAGTTCTAATCCAACACACTGATGAAAGAGGTGCGGTTGATCTTCGTTACGTATATATTGACCTCACTCCTTCGAGTTTAATTTAAAAACCGGGGATCTGAAAAGATGACCAGCCAAGAAGGCGACGCAGCATATTTACCACTGGAGGTAAGTTTCATCATCAGTATTATCATTAACAGCATCGCCTGTCCCTTCACAGTTGTACTCAACGCGCGGGTGATAATGGCCGTGAAAGAGAGACCCCGACTTCGAACCAACAGCAACATTTTGCTGGCCTGTTTAGCCGTGACTGACTTGTTCACTGGTCTTCTTGGCCAGCCATCGTTTATCCTGTGGAGGGTATTCCTATTCTTGGGTCTCAAGAGCAGTCGAACAGTGGGAAGTTTCCATTTCGATGCTCTGGCCGTTTTTGTAGTGGCGTCATACGTTCATCTGATGTTGGTTACGTTGGAGAGGCTCATAGCAATCAAATTTACGATGCTTTACTCAAAAATTGTAACTGGTCATAACATGAAGATGGCAGTGTCAGTAGCCTGGATCATTGCCTTTATGTGTGGGGTTTTCAATGTGTTAAAAATGTACCATGTGTTAGTTCCTATGGGAGGCCTCATCACTTTTTCATGTATCGTTTTTGTGGCCTTAGCTTATGCGATTTTGTATCATGAAACCCGTCGCCACCAAAGAAAAATAAAGGCACAGCTACTTCCCAAAGAAGAAGTGGAAAGATTTACCAAAGAGAACAAGGCGCTTAAAACGACTGTCTTAGTAATAGTTGCTGTTGTTGTCTGCGTTCTCCCTCTTTGTTTCTGTCAGATCTCGATGTCTACAGGCCTTTATAATTATTGCCCCATTAACGTGTTAGTGCTACAAACATTTGTTATGTTTAACTCACTTCTTAATCCACTAATTTACTGCTGGAGACAAAAAGAAATGCGAAAGTTGATATTTAGAATGCGAACCCAGGTTGTGCATCCAGTTATCCAGTGAAAGTGGGAAGGCGGAAAGACAGAAAAACTGGTTAACTATTTATGAACACTTTTCTAGCGCATTTTCCATCCACTTGATGAACGAAATTATGAACGAAACTATGTTTTAAGGAAGATATATTTTAGGCTTATTTACTCCTTACCAAATCTGATTCTTGAAGACAGAAAGGCAAATGTCCTCGACAGGAGTGCAATTTGTTGAGCTTACTTTTCTGCACTTCTGGATATGCACTGCATACCAATTTTTCTTCTGTTTTATTTAGCTATTTTATTCGACTGAATCACATTAAAGGAAATGTTCTTTTCCTACTTAATGGTTTAAAAAAATCAAATCCCTTACAGGGCTGGATTTTTTTCAGGCTTTATTTTCACTACTGCTCGAGTAGTGTTCATTACTGCGAAGATCGCTTTCATATTCATGTCTTTATTGGCAGTTCAAATATATGACTTTCCTATACCCACAGTCGTTAGTTATTTTTGTTGTTGTCGCTTTATAGGGTGTTCAGAACCTTGCCAATGCACTATTTTGGAGGGTAACATGAATGGCTTTATACCCGTTGATTGTAAAGGAAAACGTGCACTCGGTTCCACCGAACATACCAGAAACTACATTAAAACTGTAAGTGTTTTAAGTCGCCACACCGAATGTGCTTCCGAAAAAGTGTATTCTCTTGAAGCAATACTTGTAAAGAATAAAAGCACAACTTAAAATTTATAAAAATCTCTGGCTTAAAGTGTCACTTCTTGTTAATATCACTGAGTCGATAACTGTAATGAATGATGAATGAAAAATTGGGGATTGCCAGTTTTGCTACGTGAGTGATCAATTGTTATCGATTTTTAAAGTTCGTTATCGATGGTCGCAAAATTTTAACTAGGTGTGCAAATGCGACACGCAGCTCCAAAGCCGGTGTGTCATCTCACTAGCGTGTGTATGCGTTCACCTTATTCCTTGTTTTCCATGGAGGGTCACATATTGAGAGGATCTAACGTCAGAAGAACTAAGTTTTACGGTAACTTCTTAGAGAACTGTACAGTTTTGGAAGACGATATTACAAGAATTTATTTGATTTGAACTTGCGGACGTAATTGCCCTGAATTAGGAGCCATCACATGTACGAAACTCTTTTTGTTTTTTATTGATCTCTTGTTTTATTTATTTTTTTCCAGTAAGTTAGCAATGTAAGAATTCCCTTTCAAAATAAGGAGAAACGTTTTTAGTATCCAGCGAATCTCACGTAACCTCGTTAAGTGTTTTTTTTTTTCTCTTTTACGACTTATTGGTCATAAGGAATGGTCCATAAATCATTCCCAGATCCGGTTACATGTCGCAAACTGATGTATGGCAACTGTTTTTTTATTAAACAATTGAGAGACATGATTTATTATCAGGAAAGCATTGAGTACAATCAAATTTTCCATGGATTACTGATTCTTTGAAGCAATATCTTTTTAGATGATGCCATGAGTTCTGTCAGGGTATCTAGCGTGTAAAAACCATGCTCTTAAAATCCACTAGTGCATAAAGAAAAAGAATGTTCATTGATGGTAAATCATTACCAAAAGACCGACACACAACAAAAACCGAGTCAGGCTTCATTCACCCCTCCCCTCTTCTGTACCATGATGGAGATTTCACTTTGTTTCATTTGTCTGAGAGTTAAGCATAATATATTCCTTGTTACATCAACGGATTGAAGTCTTGCAATAAATATGACCTTTATTTAAAGAGATAAAAGTCAAAGCCGTCAGTTTCTAAAACAAGAATGGTCTACAACGACCTAAAATAAGCTAAAATAAGCTAAAATGACCTTTTAGAGTGATTTCTGAACTGTTCTAAAATGACCTTGATATTTTAGCGTCGACAAAATCTGGATCGGAACAGATTGTATCGGATCACGGATCGGATCTGGGACTGAATCACGAATCAGATCATGGATCAGCTCAAGGATCGGGTCACGGATCAGATCACTGATCATGGATCTGATCATGTTAAATAAAATTTTGCGCTACAAGCCAAAATAAAGTCTGCGTGACATAATAGAGCGTAGACCCCACTGAAAGTTTTTTTGCCCAAAAGCCCCATTATAGTGCCACCATGGACGAAGGCAAGCGAGAGGTACGTATTATTTCATCAAGCAGTTAAGAAAAACATAACACAATCCACAGTTTCTTCTTAGAGTCCTTGAGCTTCTTCCGTTGCCTGTGCGTGAGGCACGTTGGAAGCCATGGTTCGCAAATTGATCGACCTAAGTGTTCCACATTGCAAGGTCAAAGTCTCGGGCTACAGGTCCTTACGATAGTTCACCGGCAAGAAGTTGTCAAATCACTCAAAGTCATTTCATTCCTCGAGTTTTCAGTGAAACAAGATTGCTGTACAGACTGTAAGTACCAAAGCATATTGCAAACAAGAAGGGAGTCAGACTGAAACAGACTGAGTACTAAAACGTCCACTTATCTTATTTTTGCTACACATGTAACTGCATCATAATTATTATACTTCTATTTTAATAATCATTATAATATCATTCCAATGATTATTATTATTTTTTGCGATTTGTTTGGAAAAACAAGTTGTCAATGACATAAAGCATGATAAAACTTTTCTATACCAAACAAATCTTGTCATTAGATGCTTTCCCTTCGGAAAATATATCAGCAACTATGGAAATTTTCTTTCACACATTTCTACATGTAACAAACATTTAAGCACAATATGAAACAAAAAGTTGAAGTGGAAATGCAGATGTGACAGTATGACAGATCAATCAAAAATGTAAAGGCAGCAATTACAAAACTCTAATATTACTGACAGAGGTGGGACCAGCTTAAAACCACTTAAAAAAAATATTCCTTAGTTTATATTACATGTAATAGTCCATTTTATAGCTGCATGCTTGGTTGCCAAGCCTGCGAACAGAAGTGAAACTAAGGGTGATGATACAAACCTTGCTGCTTTTCAAATGTAAATTACTTTAATTGTTATTATGCAAACTAGATACTGGCCTCTATCACATCCAGGTCACCTTCAGCCTTACTCCAAATCACAGGCTTGGCAACTAAGTACACAACTGTAAAATGGCCTACTGGTTATCTGTTCTGAATGCTATAGGTTTGCGGCCTGCATCAAACCCTGGGATAGTTAATACACAGCCGTGTTCCCTGGGCAGCAGTAGGCTTGGTTTGTGACCATTACCACTGACTGTTGGCAAAGGCAGGACACTGAGCTGGCTGTGCTCTGTATAGATGAGCAAGATGAACACACTGACTGACATTCTGACTGCATTGCTTCCATGTGTTTCTCTATGGCAACAATAATTTCACCAGCCCAAGCAAGTGCATCTGGTCTGTTAGAGGCACCTCTAACAACCTGTTAATGTTGAATGAGCAATGAAACTGTCAAAGGTAGAGTACACAGTACAGTATGATTGTGAACACCTGAGAAGTTTAACATTTATGTGCATGACCAATCACATCAGATATTAGGACACACATACAAACCACAATACCAACAAACTCAAGGGGTGTGCAAAATGATTCCCTCATTAAATTTTGATATGGCCTCAAATTCTCCTTATGTTTTAAATAAACAAAACAATTTGGAAGGAGGATCTTGCAGTCTAACTGGAGTCACATAGGGCTTTTTTTCCAGACACCTCTTTAACTACAGTTTTAAAGGGTTTTTTTTGCACCAACAGATGGCCATCTTTTAGAACCACAGTACATGTATGTTTGAATGGCATAGACTAGGTATTTATAGCTATTTTTGTGAAAAAAAAGTAAGTTTTACCTGAAGCAACTGGCAGACAGATTTGTAGAGAGCTGTTGACCTTCATGTTCAAACAAAATCATAGTTAATATAAGAACAGATTTATGAACTCAGTATTTGACTTCTTTTCTTGTTTTCCTCAGTCTCCAGATTCATTATACAATGAACATGTGCATGTAGCTCAACTGACACCTTTTATTAAGACACAGGAGTGAAATTTTTAACCAAAAATTCTGAGTATTTCTGAAGACTACAGTATATAACAACTATACTGAGGATTTCTAGCAATAAAAAATTACCAAAAGATGTTTTGAGGAAATCCAAGGTACCAAAAAGGTAATTCTTGTCTAATGAGTATAGCCAGCTCCTTCGAGATTTTCACTAGCTAATATTCGTGCCATAAACCAGAATTAGGAAAACAAAATGTGGGAAAAGGTTTGAGTGCAAGCTTTTCTCATTGTTTTCAATCTTCTTAACATTCTTTTGAATGGAGCTCACAGATTTTAAAAGGAGGTTTTACATTGTGTCTGAGCACTTACACAATGTTCATACATGCACATGTATCTTGTCCAAATAGATTTTGTTATCAAAGCCCATTAATTAAATGGCAGTTAAGGTACTGACAGTAGTATTAAAATATTCATGTATTATAATACATCATCTCTCAAATGAGTTGTCAAGGGTTTTATATTTTAACCTTGAAAAACCCATATGTTGTCATATTCTTACTTCTCTTCAATTTGCTTGGAGTCTGAAGGTATGTACATTGCTTTGACCAGCTCATCCACTCTGGAAGACAAAAATTTTTCAGATTGCAAAACTGAACATCCTTCTGTAATATTTGCCAGTTTCCATCTAGGCAACCATGCTTTACAAAGCAAAAATTCAGACGCTTGTCAACAACTCTAAAACCTGTAGGATTATAGAAGTTAGTAACCTAAAAAGAGAGTATTTAATAGTGACACAAACTTATTCAAAGTAGAGCAAAACAGGAATTATAAGGTAAGAGTCACCAAATACCTTCCATATTGGGAAAACAAATTATCTGAAATATGCAACACTTAACAGCTCAGAGGTAAATGGCCAATGCATACACAATACCTTTGCACGTTTATGATGTTTCATGCATAATAAAACAAGCACCAAAGTGCATGTTTTATGCACGTTTCTGCTAATGTTATTCGATGCAGTCAATTTTTTTTGCTTTGATCTGAACTGTTTTGCATGACTAAAGTTTCCTGTTTCAAAATGCCAGGCAGTCCAGGTCATCAAGAAAAGTATAGGATGCTTTAAATTGTACATCACCTTGGCCTAATTTCCTTTGCTGCAGTCACAATTTTATTCATTTCTGTTGGTGACTTGATTGTTCCACTGCTCTCCAATGTGTGGGCAACAAGCTGTTCTGTTAGTACATGACAGGACTTCAGCAAGTCAATGCAGTGTGATATCAGGTGTCTGAAGCAATAAAAATTAGACAATCAAAAAATGTATTGAAAATAAGAGATTGTAATCCATATATGTGAGAATGAAAATGATGAAAATCATTGATTTATAGTAATGTTTTAATGACAAATAACAAAAATGATGATAATTACGACAATAATGCTGACGATGGTAATAACAGCATGACTGTATAACCTAAAACTTGTGCAACCAGCTAAACCAATCAGATAACTGTTTCTTCTGTTCATACAATGTAGCACTTACTTATTGTGAGATTTTGTCAAGTAACAGACTATGACACATTATTTAATTTTCACCCTTATGTTTTCACATCACTCTGTTGAACTTACTCAGCATCGCCACTCCAATCTGGATCCAGGAACATTTCTGGCTTAAAATTGAAAAGTATGAATATCAGAAATGCCAAGACATTTAATTAATTATCGTAATTAATACAATCAAATAATACTGGGTCACCTACTGTCCTCTTATTTCTAATCCATTTTCTATTACCTAACCCTTTAACTCCCAAGATCTGATTGTTAATTCTCCCCTCTAGCTGCTACACATTTCCTTCTAAATTGGTTTGGAGAATTTGGTGTTAGATCAAGAAAAACAAATTTTATACGATATGTTTAAGTATTATCATTACCTGTTTGCTAGATAGTGTGTGGATATTATAGGGAGAAGTTACCTCTCAATAACTTCTGCGAGTTAAAGGGTTCACCCCTTGAACTCCAAGAGTGACTAACATCTAATTTATCCTTAACCCTTTAACTCCCATGAGTGACCAAGAAAAAATTTCTCCTTACAATATCAATACAGTATTAACCAGGTAAGTGATGAGAATAAAGAAAAATATCAATTTGGGAATAATTCGTTGATCCAATACTAAATTCTCTGAACTAACATTATAAGAATTGTATTGTCGACAGTAAAGAGAATTAAAAATTTGATCTGGAAGTTAAAGGGTTAAAATATCACCCCTGAATCAAACAGTAAGGTCAAGAGAATATAGAAGACGATTACCAACTGTAGAGGCTCTTGATTGCTAAACAAATTCTCCTTGTCAGCACCTTATGAAATGCATTGGGAACAGTATGGAGAATATGTATACTGATATTAAGGTGTAAAGGGTCCATATTCACCAGGTCATCTTGTGGAGAAAACCCATCCAAACCCAGTTCAGTATGAGATGTGTTCCATGCCGCCTGCACCAGCTCTGCATCCTGCTTCCTTGAAAAAGATAGAAAATAACTACTTAAATTATGACTCATTTTATTTCAAATGTCACATGAAAATTCAAGTTGATTATTACTTATTTCCTGAAGCATTTTTTACAAAAATTTGAATAAAGTTCTGCTTAATCTTTTCAGTAATCTCAATCACTAGCAAGGAGTACAGTCCACTCCAGGTGTGGCAACAACCTGAGCTGTTTTAATCAATACTTCAAGATCTTCAATACCCCTAAAAGCATCACAGAACAATTTCAAACACCTTGTTTCACTCTGCATCGTAGCAGTCAGTTATCCAGATGAGATTGATAAGAAAAGTTTAAATTGAGTGTTAAAAGCAATTTACATGTAGGATCATCTTAGTTTTGCTTTACTTCCTTCTGTGATTGGTCGCAAAAATTTGCACCTTGCTGTCAATTAATCAGATGCAAAGCTTACACCAATCGCAACCAGTTCACTGATGTTTTCCTACACTTAACAAAGTTTATTTAAAGAGCGTCATCACCCTATGGACATTTTCTTTAATTTGCTGTCAATGACAGGCCATTGATATTACTGTGGGTCTGGGTTTGCAACAATCAATGGAAAATTGTTCTGAGAAGAGAAACAAGAACGTTGTACTTAACCAAATTCTACCTTGTATGAGTCGTATGAACAGGTGCGGTACATGCAGTAATACACACAGAGTACGTGTTTTGTGTGTGCGATGCAAGAGATTTCTGATGTGCGTGTGTGATGCAGAGGTACATACAAGTGGTACTGTATACGATTCTATGCTGCAACTGGACTACCGATCTTTTAATCATTACCTGGTGTTGAAGGGGAGAGGGGGATTCCCTTGTTTGTCCCAAGTGGGTTTATGTGCCAAGCAGGGTATCGTTTTTGAGATCTTGAGTCTTAAAACAGGGTGTGAAAAGTCCAATTTCATTACTTATCCTCTTGTACGGACGTTTTCGCAAATGATCTTGCTATCTAGGAATATGCTATCACCCTCTGCGTCAAATCATTCCTCTGACTCATTAATTAAAGTTGCCAGTCATATATTTGCGATAATTCCTGTATTTAGCCGAGGGTCTATCAAACATAAGCGTTAAACTATCAAAATTAGCAAAAGTAGGTAAAATTAATATCAGCACAATCAGGTGGAACACTGCATCTAACCTAATTCCTCTGGTCAACTGACAAACTACATAACACTCAAACTCACTGATATTGCTGTTGTGAAAATTCAGCTTTCCTGCAACGCCGTTTGGTACAAATAAGCAACAACAAAGCGAAAAGAGAAGCCGTGAGAACTGTTCCCAGTAGGCTAACCGCAATGATCAAGGTCGGAGTCATAATGGCCACGAGAGTGGAATCATTCACATTTCCCCTTCCTTACATAGTGTTTTGATTCGGATCTGTTTGTAACAGGCGCGAATATTGCCGCGAGTCCGAATACAAACAAGATCTTCTGGGGAAACCCGAGTTATGTCCGACAAACTCTCGGAGAGCGTTTGTCTATTTTAATTGGACTATCTGAATCGATAGCCTTTCGTAAACTTCCCCAGGGATTTACCTCCGAACTTGAAAAAATTACTAAGCAGGGGTAGGGTCAGTTTTTTTTGGGTACGGTTTAAGACGTTTTATGAGAAAATATTTTTGCTGTTATATTCTTAAACTTTAAATGATTTTTGAATTGTATTGAAAATTTTTCTCGGTTTTTAAAGAGAAAAAATAGCTGGATTGTGTAAAAGAGGGAAAAAGAATCGTATATTAATCTCGGAAGAGATAACTTCCCTCTACCCTCCCTACAAGGGGCTATTTAAGCCTAGACAAGTGCAAACCCATTCAACCGACGTCTGAAATTACAATAGATGGTAAAACTTTTGCGGAGAAATAGCTGTTACTGAAAGCGAAGCTGACTTACGTGCCTTAGCTCAACAATTGCCCCAGCGAATTTTTAAGAAATATTTTATCATGGCGCCTAGCGAACGGGAGTCAATGGGTTCGCCATTTGTTTTTATCCTCTCTGTGGGCGCGATTCAAATTTTCGGGATCTTGGCCATGGTTCTCACTGGCATATGGATGGGAAAATATCTCGGTGGATTTGCTTGGGATGGAACAGCTTATGAGTTTAACTATCATCCTCTATGTATGGTTATCAGTATGGTGTTTTTATACAGCGAAGGTAAGCTCAGAACGTTTTCGCGTTCGAACTCTCACTACAGCCCTTGTACAATTACCTCCTAAACGCCCACTAAAAGTTGATGAGAATTATGTAATATTTCACTCTCAAAAATGCTGCTCAGAAGCTAATACTTTTTACTTTAATATCTGTTGAATTCTTTTTTATTTTTAGCTGTGTCGTTATCTGAATTTGTTTCGTGAATATTTAATGTCATTTTCAAAAGGCCAGCAGCTGAAATCTTAAACGCCCCAAAGGATGCTGCGATGGCTCCGCTTAATCTTATCATCATAGTGTTGACGGGTAGATGGTGATCCACAGAATTAAAAGAATAGGATTAAAGTAAATAATAGCATTTAAAATTTGAAATGTTCTGAATTTGAGATTGCTCCTTGTACAATGTACATGTATCTACGTTTTCATTATCACACTAACTTACTTTACTCAAAATAAGAAGTACGAGTTGCAATCGTTAAATATGCACGGGTATCCAATCAAAACAAACGCAATCAAGGATGTTATACACCTATTTTCTAGAATCTATAACACGGAGAGAAATCAAAACTTTCACAATTTCTTTAATTGCTGCTGGTACGAAATGGGGTGGCTGTTATATCACTTCCCGCAGATGCAAGCAAAACTTAATTCAATTTTATTTTTGCCTGACACTCAGTTACCCATCTGCAGCAAAGGCATTCACTGTGTTTCTTAGCTACAGTGCATGTTCTTGAAAGATTGAATGAGAACCATGGTGAAGTTTGTTATAAAGGGTTACCGTGCTGCTTGTCAGATGTTTGGTTTACAACCTAGAGAATCTAATTTGTCTTTACTTTCACATTTCTCCGTACGTTCACTGCGTTCTGAGCTACAGTACATGTACGTAAAAAATGTTTTGTCATTTAGCAGGAAACTGACGCGTGCCATTGTAACTGCAGCTGGGTTTTCTTAAAGTATCAACGTTTATAGTAAAATGTGGCTACATGTTGCAGAATTCTCTAGTTTAAATAAAACTCTTTCCACCTGAACAGTAGTATTCATATTGTTCACACTGTTTTTTTTTTCTTATGATACCAAAAAGGAGAATTTGTTCGCTAATCAGCAGCTCCTAAAATTGGTGATCATTTTCTTTATTCTTGAGACCTTTAAATTTGATTCAGTGGTGATGTTCTGGAGAAATCATAGAAGCCAGTCTCCTGTAGGGGTTGGTTTTCACAGTTATCTTCTAGATACCACTAAATTTTTTTAACAAAAACCATGGTGAAGTTTTTGAAGGTCACATGCTTGTCAGGTGTTTGGTTTATAACTGACCACTTGTAATGTCTCCTTACATTTTTACCCTGCTGAATCACACATTTAGGTCACGAGAATAAAGGAAGTGACTACCATATAAAAAAGCTATTTATTGTTAAACAAAATTCCCCATGTTAGTACCCTAAGAAATCCAGAGAGAACTGTATGGAGAATATTCCTACTGATGTTAGGGTGTAAAGGGTTGAAATTAACCAAAGAATAATGGCACAGCGGCAAAATGGGTGCACATGCTTGTAATACACAAGAAATTCTATGCACGCAAAAGAATGGGAACTACAATATTTCTGTAGTAACACTATGGAGGCAAATGGCTGCATTTTTTAAAATTCTCATTGCTTGTTTTCCTTTCATGGGGATAAGCCCAAATCAAAACAGATAAGGTTGCCATTTTCAGGAAAGTTTCTGTCAAACCTCTTCTGTCACATATCTCACTCAACAAAAAAAAAATGCATTAAGGGGTAGAGCATCTGTATCATGGCAATGTTGGTCATGGCACCTGTTATCATTTAAGCACTTTTTGTCCTTTCCTACTCAGTGGGCAAACCCCCTGGAAAAAAAAGTTTGTTGTCTCAGTGAAAAACAGCACACATCAGTTTTGTTTCCAGAGAAATAATAATGGAAACTCTGAATACTCAATTGGCTCAAGTAGCTGTTAGCGTGCGCACTCATTTAGCTGCTGTGTTGAGGGAAACAAGGATGATTGAGAATGGAGTTAATGAATAGGTCTTGTGATTGTCAAACATAAAAACTGAGCTGCAAAAATCATCATAGCTACTTTAAACTACATCAAATTTTTCAGAGATGGGTTTGGCAAGCTCATATTACAGTATGCTATCACATTCCCTTTTTGCAGCTATGATTGTGTATCGAGTGTTTCGCCATGAAAACAAATTCTTCATCAAGCTGGTTCACTTTGGTCTTCAGCTAGTAGCCTTTGTAATTGCAGTCCTGGGTCTAAAGGCCGTGTTCGACTTCCATAACCATAATGGAATTCCTAATCTCTACAGCCTCCATAGCTGGTGTGGATTGTCAACCATAATTCTCTTCTCTTGTCAGGTCAGTAAGTGATGTGCATGTTGTGAAGCATTTCTACACTCAAACTTTTATTACATTTTAAATTGTTTCTCAATCAAGTTGTTATTTTGCTACCACGAAAGTAGATTTGAGAGATGTAAGTTCAGGAAGCACTGCAGGATAGAATTAATCAAATTAGTTCTGTTTTCAGTGATGTATCTAATCAGGTGATTAAACACATAGAATTACCTGTGTATAATGCGCACTTTTTTTCTATAAAAATAACCGTCATATATATATATTTATATTATTTATAATTTTTAATGAATAATAATCTATTTTTTTAACAAGTAGCTAACCCTGTAGTATGTTATGTAGCATAAACTCACAGAGGCTGATCACAAAGTGGGCTCCCAAACATTTCATCAAGCTTTGCAGCAGGGGCAGCATTAGAATTTGGCCCCACCCATAATTTACCTAATGCTCTAAGATTGAAATTCACCATTTTCCCCGCATTTAGGAGCACAAACTATACTTCAGTGACCCAGAAGTTATCACTTTTTAGAACACGGAAACAAGATTTGATGCAGTACCCCAGTGCATAATTAGTTATGTATTAGATCTACATATTTTGCTAGTTGAAATTGATGTATTTTATTTTTTAGAAAATATGTGAGGAAAATGTCTTGTAATTCTTTGGTTGAGATTTAGACAGCAGTTCCACAAAGGTGTCTTAACAGCTGGTCAATTTGCACTGTGCCTGGCCCCTCAAATGAAACTCATTGAAACCACAAATTCTACTGATAGACTGCTTAACAGAATTATGACTGGCTAAGCAATTTGTCCTATTTGTCTTAATAACTTCAGCTCAACTGAACTGTTCATACCTTTGCCTTTCTCTCCAGCTTCTTTTTGGTTTTGTGAGCTTTCTTTTCCCCAAGCTGCCAGACAGTCTTCGTGCAGCATACCTTAAAGTACATGTGTTCTTTGGTATGTTTATTTTTATGATGGTCATTGGCACAGCGCTCATTGGAATCAACGAGAAGCTTTTCTTCCAGTTGAGCACAAAGTAAGTGAGTCATGGACTGGTCATTCAACCCTTAAACTCCCTTGAGAGACCAAGACAGAATTTCTCCTTACATCATCATTACAATATCAAGTAGAAAAGTGATGAGATCGAATAAGGAAAAAAATTCAATCAGGGAATTATTAGTTGATCCGATACCAAATTCTCCAAACTAACATCATAAAAATTGTTTTTTAAACAATTGTAATCGTTAGTTACAATAAATCTTTGTATGAACCTTTCCATGAAGACATGAGCCTCCTGTATTATTTGGCCTAGCTTTTTCAATGAATTCCTATTAGTTTAAGGGTTTTTTAGAGTAGCTGGCAAGTAGGTGCTATTGAGGTTGATAATACATGAGCCTTTGGCTCAATTCCTCTCAGAGACTCCCTCTCAATATTTTACTTTTTTCACATTGTTCTTTTTTTTTTTTTTTTTGCATTCCATCCTCAAATCCTCTGACTTCATTCTGTGTTGAGAGTGCAGAAAGACAGACTAGTAGTTCATAGTCCTCACAACTTTCAAAATAGAATACACACAGTATATATGCTGTAGAACTTGTCAAGAGCTACATGTGATACTGTAGGTAGGGCAAGGGTATATTCTCTCCAAATAGACACAGTACATACAGTATACATGTGGGCACAGTGTTAATTTATGATTTGGGGGTATCATGTTGTAAGGAGAAATAAGATGCTAGTCACTCTTAGGGTTAACCTAATATTGACTCCAAAAGTGACCAAGTGATGAGCATAAAGAAAAATGTCACTTGAGGGATTACTAGTTTATCAAATTCCCAAATTCTCCAAACTAATTTTGTTATAGTTAATATTGTAGAGAGTAAGGAGAATTATTGAATGGGGGTTCTTGAGAATGAAAGGGTTAAATCCAAGAAGTTATATGGCTTGGTAATAAAATCAGTTTTGATACTGGTTATGCAGCTAGGCTATCTTATGTACTTTAACAGTAGCCAAGCAATTAGCAAATTCTTAGGCTCTTAATTTGAATAACAAATGGAATTGGTAGTATTGATCTGCCAGTGGAATGTGCCTGTTTTTTGTTCTTCCACTGTTTACTTTTCTTCTGACTACACCTTTCATCTTCCTTTCATTGCCAAATTGAGCTGACAGTAAGTTAATTTTTGCAGATATTCCACACTACCTGCTGCGGGGCAACTAGGCAATGTGCTGGGCATCACACTTATCATTTTAGCTGGCACAGTCATGTTTGTGGTGACAAACTCTGCATTCAAGAGGGTTGACACAGATGAAGAACGTGTGTCCTTGATGAATGACAAATAATTGAACAATATTCATTATTTTACAGTGGAGTCTTGTTATCTTGAATCACCAGTATAGAGAATATATGATCACACTTTCAACACATTATCCAACAAAAAGGTAATGAGAGTGAATAAATATATGAGCTGGAGGCTGTTTGCTTGATACAAAACCAAATTCTCTAACTTCGTTTAAAAAGAGATTCATATTGGCCCAAAGGGAGAATAACTAAATCATGATCAGATCATGGAATAGTTGAATCCACCCCTGAAATGTGTCCTTGTGTGTGTGATGAGAAAAAGGTTAAGATATTAAGGGCTTGAGATATCCAGACTCCACTGCATTGAAAATATTGATTTTAAAAATAATGGTTATTTGAAGGATTGTTTGAGCAGCAAAAGAAAAATAAACTTTACTTA